AAGAGGAAAAAAGTCAAAGAGTATCGGCAGTCATACGACAGATTGGGTTTGAAGATTAGAAGGTGTGTCGGATTTAGGACATTACCTCAGAAAACACTTCTAATCCTTTTATAATCAGTGGCTCATCTATCACCTGACTGCAGTCTTGTATTCTCTGTCTTTTCACAAATGTACATAAAACGGAACCCATGCTGAACATGCCGGGCATCAAGTAGAACCCAAGATGTAACTGTATTTAGCCATTTTAACTGCTGAGCACAGCCCATGTGTTGTTGCTGAACCAGATTTTCCCAGCAGAGTCCACTATCTGTGGAGGGTAAGTATGAAAGAAGGTTCTGGACATGCTTTCAAAGCTCAAAAGTGCTAGCTGGTAGATCCACTCTACTGAATGAGATCCCAATGGCCTGGAAGAATTATTGTAGCTTTCTAAAGTGACTCATTCACTCCCCGGGGGTCGTCTGGGCTCAGAGAAAATCTGTCTCACTGATTATTAGTGATTTGGTAATTGGATGGTAGTGATGGACTTCTGATAACCTAGAGATTTGCTTTAGCTTCACTGGCAAAGACCTGTGTTTTCAGAGTCAAAGGTTACACTGCCTATTTGTGTGTGTGTCTTGGGGGTGGGGAGGGGTCTGTACAAAGTACTGCTTTTCTGAACCTGAGTCTGCCAGTCCCAATTCTGACATCTGCTAGCTGTATCATCCTGAGCAAGTCTCAAGTCCACTCCTGCCTCGGTTTCTTCTTCTGTCAAAGCGAGAGGTGGGTCAAATGATCTCCACCATGTCTTTAAACTCTGGAAAATCTGGTTTCTAGGCCTGGAATATCTTTTGATGCACCTGTGCGGTTTTGAAAGGTACTGGTTTCACAGTATCAATTTCATCGTTCTTATGCCAGTATTTTGGATTGGAATTAGAACTGTCCCTTACAGGTGTATAGAAAAACCAACCAGCTCATTTAGGAGTCCCACATCCCTTCTTCCCCAATCCTCTTCCAACTCTGAAATTGCACAGTTTCTATGAGTATACGGTCTTTTTTTTCTTTTGCCGTTTATGAGATATTACATGAACTGTGAGGTTGGGAGTTGTTAATTTCCTCTTCCTCATTACAGTATTTTGAACAGGAATAAGAATATCTTTTTTGCATCTTGTGGCCCTGTAGAAAACCAAAACAACCCACCGAATTCCCTCTGGCCCTTCTGTTCCCTTAAACAGTAAACAAATGAAATCTGTATTCTCTCCTTTTATACATGGTAGAGGATGTAACTTGTCCTGGGATAGTGAGCAAGGGGTCATTTGCAAAACTGCCTTATTATCCTATTACTCTCTAGGAACAAATATGTGAGTTTTCATCTTGGGGTCACAGAGATATAAGCAATCTGCCCCATCATCACTTGATGGGTAATTTATTGTGAACTTAACAAGAAAAAGACAAAGGTTTAAAGGGGGGGGGGATTGATCTTCCCAAAGGACTATTTAAAAATTACAACTTTTGCAGGAAGATAGGGTGAGGACTGGGCTGTAGGCTCCGGGGATGTGCTGGAGGCCATGCCAGAGGCAAGAGGACTTTTCAGGACTTGCACTTAACAATGCCAGGTAGGCAAGACCCAACGGATGGCTTACAGAACCTTCCTGAGAGCAACGTTTCTTGAACTGCAGGTTACGCCCATCAGTGGGTCCTATAATCAATTCAGTGGGTGATGACCAGAAATTTTTAAAAACGTGAAGTAAATCAGATTAAAGCAGAACAGAGTAGAAAATATTAGAGTGCATGGCATGGAGAAAGTCATGTAATGTCCAGTCAAACTCTGGTTTGTTTCGTGTGTGTGAGAGAGAGCAAGCAAGAGGGATATCTGCTTTGGTACACCAAGTTCCAATGTAAAATAAAATTTTTCTGCAGGTCGTAGTTTAAAAACTGGAAAGCCACTGTCCTGGAGAAATAACATGGTGATGCCCATGTCTCAATGTTGGCTTCCAACATCCTGCTCTATTTTGTGACAAATTTATAAACAAAAGGAAAAGGAATTCTTCCAAGTGTCAATAGTCACCTTCTAGCTCTGTATTTAAACTGCCCAAGTTATTCTAAATTCCACTTTTTCTTCTCTGAAAAATGCTTACATTGAATTACTCTCTTCAATGCAAGCCCACACCCCCAATGTTTGTACTTTTCCTTTTCCTTTTTTCAAAGCATCTTCTTATGAAAGACTGATAAATACATTAAACAATAGTATAAATGACTGATAATGCTTTAATATGCCCCATGCCCAAAGGATTTGTGTTTCAGGCAAATATGAAGCCGCACACCCTATAAAAGAATCTTGTAGAATTTAGCGGCAGGGGTAGGAAAAGAGTAATCTGGAGAGGAAGAGTGCTTTCTCAGCACTCTTAAAATCCTACCTGTGGCTGTCTATATTCCCTTCATAATGTTTCCTTTTTTGACAAGTAAATGATATGCATGATTTCTTCCCCTGTGGATTTGTGAAATGCAACTTCAGCTGTCTTTTTTAAATAGGTATTTATGAAACTGTCTTTTTTTTAAGATTTTATTTATTTATTTACACAGAGAGATCACAAGTAGGCAGAGAGGCAGGCAGAGAGAGGGGAAAGCAGGCTCCCTGCCAAGCAGAGAGCCCAATGTGAGGCTCCATCTCAGGACCCTGACATCATAACCTGAGCCGAAGGCAGAGGCTTAACCCACTGAGCCACCCAGGTGCCCCTATGAAACGGTCTTATAAAATCTTTGAGAGGAAGTATTTTTCGTCTCACTCAACTTCGTATTCATCGTACACCCAACTTACTGTCTGGCAAATTTTATATCCTCAATTAGTCGTAGTTAGGACTGTTTATTATAGAATTGCACTACTGTCTATTCTGTAACATATGTGGTAATATTGTTTCCCAATGTCAAACTAGGAAGAAAGCAGAACTACTTGCTTTTATGCTGAGTATCAGATAGTATTATGCAACACCTCCATACACTTGTGATAAACCCACAGTTAATCGTAATTTTAAAAGAACACTAATTTACTGAGTATAAAATATATGCCAGACTCCCTGTCCTAGGTATTTTCCCCACGTAGTCTCATTTCTTCCTTGCAAAACCTCTTCAGTGAAAGTACTGTTATGCCCTCCTTACCACCCCTGCACAGAAACACCACAGGGATAATTTAACCGACGGGGAAACTAAGCCTAGAGATTAATATCCTGCCTACGAAGACAGTTATTAAGTCACAGCAAACAAAGCTCTAACTCCAAGAGAGTCCATCTGCCTGCAAAGGTCAGTCGTGCTTTCCTCATTGTTACATTTCTTAATGTTGCATCTAAAATTGTCATTTTTGGGGTGCCTGGGTGGCTCAGTGGGTTGAACCTCTGCCTTTGGCTCAGGTCATGATCTCAGGGTCCTGGGATTGAGCCCCGCTGGGCTCTCTGCTCGGCGGGGAGCCTGCTTCCCCCCTCTCTCTCTGCCTGCCTCTGCCTACTTGTGATCTCTCTGTGTCGAATAAATAAATAAAGTCTTTAAAAAAATAATCATTTTCATTTTCATTTCAGATACTTTACCAGCCATCTGAAGAACAAAGCTGTGACTTTAAGAACACCAGGAAGTTTCCTTTGTTTTTGTTTTTCATGAAAAACACTTTGATTATCACAGAGTGGTTGTTACATACCCAGAAAATACCTGGCCAGAATGTGCTAACTCAATGCATTCTGCTTCTCCTCTGCACTTAGGATCTATCTCCACTTTCTGGCCTCTTTAAATGGAGAGATAAACGACAAAAGAGTCAAGAGTTGGATACATCAACAGTCCTTACAGCCTGGTGGTGGTGTTCTGTCAACTTCTTTGGATCTGCTCAGGTCATTTTTTTTTTGTTTGTTTCCCTGTAGAAATCGCAGTGCTCAGTAAAGACTGCTATGAAAAGCACTATTTCCCATTCACACACAGCTTTCACATTCCCTGCTCCATCTAAAGAGACAGTTTTCAACAGCCATCCTTTACGGTGAAAGTCTGCTTGGTACTGTCCTTCTCTCAAAGAGTTTTCAACCTCCTCCAAAAGTCCTAGGTGTTCAGAAGCCACAGTCCTTCAGCAGCCATGTCTCCCCCCATGAGAGTAAAAGGAAGAAACTGATTTTGCAACAGACAGACTGGAAAATCAAATTCCAGGATTCACCTTTGCTCTTAAAACAGAGAATGAAACCAATGACTCCCAAAAGTGCTTTGGTAGCTACTTTTGGATTCCGAACTTCGATATCACTCTCCCATATTAATTCAGTCTTAAGTCTCAGGAAATAAAATAATTATGTAGTTAAACAGAGATCCTTACACAAACATGTACCGTGTTTACAATGTACCAATCCATTAAAATCAACGACAGACACTGATTATGAGAACTAAACCCGAGCCAAGTGGACTGGCACTCACCATTTGCCCAATCCCCATCCAATGACAGTAAACATCCTATTGGAATCTGCTCTGAAAACAAAGGCTTTACCAACCTAATGTCAAGGTAAACAGGTAGTAAATACCTGTTTGACACTAGTAGCCAGTGGTATCATTTTCATTCTTTAGGGTCTAAAGACAACTAAACGCTGGCATTTTTTCTTTTAAACTAGCACCATTGTAAGATAAGAGCCTTATTATTTGGTATTTTTAAGAAGTTCACAAGATGCTGGTTCACACTGACTTAAATTTTCTAGCCATAAACCAACTGAGTTAAAGGAAGTAAGTAAAGACATTCTGTTATTCAGAAAAACAAAAACAAAAACAAATGTCCTACACTTTCCATGAAATGCCAACCCCCCACCCAAATTAAGAGCTACACAGAATAAAGCCCCATTACGTTAAGCGACGAAAGTCCTGAAGTCAAGGTCCTAAGATTCTTCTACTCTGTAAATCATACGAAGAAGGAAGGAAAACCTATTTTCAACACCAAGAATATCTATTCATCAGGAACAGAGTTAGGTCTCTCTTGAAAGGAGGATTTTAAGCTGTAATAGCTCATGACATACCTTAAGTTCTCTGAAGAAGATACTACTCCTGGCCCACTCAACGATGGAGAAAAGGGTCTGATCAGCCATTTTGCACATAAGCCCAAACGTGCTCAGCTTTTCGTGCTTGCTTCGGTTAGCTTGTTCTTGTTGCAAATAGGCCATGATTTTGGCCTGGACTTGAGGCTCATCTGGCTCGCACTTCAGAAGTTCCACTATCAGATGTGGGATGCTTGCCGGGGAGCTGGTCTGGTAACTATCCACGTAGGAATAGCCCATGATCGACTCTGGTGAGCTGGTGTAGGGGTCTGGGTACTCGGACTTGATGGCCCGGCTGGGAAAGTGACTGTATGTTTGGTAACCTTGCAGGCTGCCGTGAGGTGGCATTGTCATGCTAATGGGGGATGTTACAAAGGGACTTCGGTCATAGTCTGTAGGAGGCAAGGCAGCGTGGTTCAGAGGTAGGCCTTTAGAGGCAGAATGGATGTTCTGAATTGCAGAAGAGATGGTGAGCTCAGAGGGCATTGCTTGGATCACCTGAGACATGGCTTCTAGCTTAAGTCCATTGGCTCGGATGAGGGCTTTTTTCTGTTGCTTTAGGGCCCTGTCCCTCTTGTACATTGGCCCAAATTTATTCCTTCCCCCACGCATTCGGTCAGCCCTTACCGCTGTGGGGAAATTAAAAAAAAAAAAAAAAAATGGAGTAAGGGTATAAATAAGATGCAAATTATTAGCATTCTCTGTATCTCCAGGTATCTAGTGTTAGGTGTGTGGCTGTTTTCATTACAACAGCCCACAAAGATTTCCACCCCCTCCACCACCAAAAAAAGCCATTTTTAAATTCTTTCCTCTTTAAATGTTTGTCATCAAAAAAATATTTTGGATGCATAGGGACACAGTAATCCTTTGATAGACGGTGAGGGTTTCATCATTTTTGCTACCTACAGGGCATACTATAGATTGCTAAGAAAGGGATCACTTTCTATTACACCAGTTATGTCGGAATTCTCTTTGCAGAAACCCAGACTGCTAAGGGGAAAAAATTAAAAAAAAATCAACCCGTTTCTCGATTAAATTGTTTTGAGTATCTTCCCTTACAGTGTCTTCCTCCCTCAAAGTCGTTTTGACTAATTTGCTGCAAAGGACAGGGTACATACTCTTCCTGAAAATTATTTTCACCTGGACTTGATGAACACACATCAGATAACCACTCATTATTGTTTTTAATTTAAGCAGAACTGGACATAATTAAGCGAATTCATTTCAGAAGCTGTCAAGACAGTCTACCATCACAGTGCTATGTGGAGTCTGGGACCATGTGGAATAAGTGAGTTAGCAGTTGTCTCCAAGCCCATAGTGGCCAATGGCCATTAGACAGAAACCAGCGACCCCTGACAGCTTCTGATATGTTGAAATTGCCGGAGGTTAAGTTTTTGAACTTTTTATCTTAGGATTAGTATAGGATTAAACATTCATTGTGAATGCTGGGTATCTAGAATATTGCACAAATTTTCTATCTGGATGATAATTTATTGAATATTCCACTCTCTCATATCACTGCTAAAGAAGTATGGTTAATGCCCCACAAGTGACTTACAGTTAGTAATACTTTTTAAGGTAAAGAAATGCAACCTTCTCCTTTCATTAAAAAAAGAAGAAATAAAATGACATCATATGAAACCACAACATTTACTTGTGTGTGTTGTTTTTTTTTAAGCAGGCTCCATGACCAATGTGAGGCTGGAACTCCTGACCCCCAACATCAAGAGTCGTGTGCTCTACCAACTGAGCCACCCAAGCATCCCACAACATTTACTCTCTGACATTTTATCTTTTGAGTCTCATACTACAGTATGCATCTCCCACAATATTTTGCTGTTTGAAAAATAATAAAGTGATTGATAATAAAGAAATTAGTAAGCATTTCTTTCTTGATCTCTTTCTCAATCTCTTCTTAACAACAATACAGAGGGACGCTTGGGTGGCTCAGTCAGTTAAGCATCTGGCTTCACCTACGTCATAACCCAGGGTCCTGGGATTGAACTCCAGGTGGGCTTTCTGCTCAGCAAGGAATCTGCTTCTCCCTCCCCCAACCCATGCTTGCTCTCTCTGTAATAAATAAAATCTTAAAAAATAAATAAAATAAAAACAATACAGAGTTAACAGTTCTAATGATAACCAAAGTGGCTACTTCCATTGGAAAAAACCTATTAGCAACTCAGCAGATTTATTTGAAATCTTTGGAGCATTTTTATCAAGTATGAGGGCCCCATAACAAGAAAGTTTTACACACAACTAGCCTGTGCCTCGTTTATCAATTAAAATGCACTCCTGTATCTGTCACGTAAGTGACACATAACCCTTATTACTACTTTAATTTCACTAGCGTTAATCTGTGGAGGTTAAGAAACAGAAACTCCATGAACTACAGACTATCTCCAGCGGCTACATATTAACTTTCTTCCCTGCCAATCTGGACATTGTTTTAAGTAGCAGCTCCACTCTCACAACATAAACTCTAACCTGGTTTCTGGGGAACCACTATCTTATTCCTGTCAAGCCAATGCTACTGATTTAATAGTTCATTATTTTTCACATTTCCTACTTTTCAACTTCATTTCATAGCCTTCGTCATTATCTTAAAAAAAAAAAAAAAGAAAAAAGAAATGTGCTTTCCCACACTATCAAAATGATACTCTCTATACGAGTAACTCCATTGCACAATTAAAACTTTAACTCTTGCTCAGGAGTCACAAAATTAATCATAACAATTTTGACAAGTAAATAACTTAAAAGATTAAAATCAGACTTTTACTAGAGCATCCTGATTTGAAAACTTAAAAGTATTTTTTTTTTAATTTTTGCAAATTTTTAAACCTTGCTCTCAGTTGAATCATTGTAGTCTTGTGTTCATATAACCTGGCCTTTTTAGCATCACATCCATCTGCTCCCCAAACTTTAAAAAAAGGTAGGAGGAGGGAAACTCTGATTATTTAATTTTTTTTCCTCATGTTTAAATGATACTCAGGCTTCTCTGCTGACAAAACATAAAAAAGATCTTATATTACTGTCCACGGTGTTACATCTAGAAAAATAATGTTACCATGTTTTAAGTACAGTGTTATTTTAAAATCCTATGTCCTTGGAGAGTTTTAACAGGCAGTAGTCTTTAGAAGAAACTTACCTTCTAGCTTCATTCCAACACTTAGACATTTTTGAAATCGACAGTAAGGACAACGCTTTCTTTGTGTTTTATCAATTTGGCAGTTCTGGTTTTCTATACATGTGTACCTTTTATTATTTTGGACTGTTCGCTTAAAAAATCCCTACAAGACAGAGAAAATAGTGAGGCATATTAAAAAATCTAACACCCGTCTCTTCCATTGTTTCATTTTAAGGAAATCACCAATAAATCTTTTCGTTGAACCAATGAGCCCTTCCGTGGTTCTGTGGTTTGTTTCACATTTTAACAAGATCAACCCTCCAAAACAGCACCCGGCCAAAGTGGAGATTTTTCTAGCATTTGAGTTATATTCCTAGAATTATATCTAATCTCAGGGAGATTTGGATACACATCATTTCATCTCAACAGTCAGAGAAAAACACATTCTATATTGACCAGTATTAAAAAATAATAATAATAAAATAAAGAAAAAGAAAAAGCAGCTCTGTTTTCTTATTAACCCCATATTCCAAATAAGGTACTCATGGAGATCTGCACGGTTTGTAAGCAGTCTGATAAAATTTTAGTGGCAAACTATGGTAAAGTAACAGTGGAAAAACTGAATAGCAAAACACCCCACATTTTCTACAAACGTCAGCACTAGACAGTTAAGAGCAAAAGGATTTAAAGAGTAAAATGGGGAAGTGTTCGTAATTCCATTGGAATACATTCAAGTTGGGGAACTCAGTGTAAAAAAAGGTGAAACTAATGGAAAAGAAAAGCATGTGTAGCAGAGAGCTGAACTTCAGCACAGTGTGCTTCTTATACTGCACCCAAAAGAATTCATCAAAAACAAATTTTGTAGCTTCAAAATACAGTACCAGCTTTACCAAGATGGTATATTATGTTTATTCTACTAGCCACAAAGTGAAACAATCTTACTTTGTTATAGAGAATGAAAGGGCTTTTCTGGCAGTGGTTTAAGTATCTGTAACTAAGCTTTCTACTCTAAAAAATGTTGAAAAATAGTAAGTATCAAGTTGACGGGGAATATATTTAAAAAGTCTGAGATAAATTCTTGATGTATGGTTGAGATTATTAGGAACAATAGAGTACATTTTACATATTAAAATTTCTTCCATTTAAATAGGTCATGTAATTTATTTACGAAAGCCACACTTACTATAAACTGAGATGTGGTTTCTGATTCTTTATGATATAAATTTCAAAAAATCTTAAAAATTGTTTTTGGAATAAATCAGGATAAAATCACGCAGTTGAGAATTTAGACTTTTATCTGTGGATAAAAAATGCTTAGACTTGCAGCACAGAATACTCTGAAGTTAAAATGTATTTGGGAAATACTTTGTCATGTTCTCTCTCAAGAACAACAATGCTTTAAATATAAGTCAAGCAAAATCAATATTTAGGACTGTTAGAAATAGAAGCCTTTCTACAGATACATCACTTTACTACAATAAAATATTTTAAAGCCATGAGACTGGCAAAGTTTTCTAAACAGCATAAATTTTTTTGCCTTTGGAATTAAATCAAACACATATTTCAAAGAATCATCTCCCTAAGACGAACTCTTTCTCTCATTTTTAATTGAGTCCAAAAAAGACAGCCTTAATTTAGCTTTAAAAAGGATTCCAATGGTTTATTTTGATTCTGAACCTTCTATTTGTCAGGTAGCAATGAGTAAGCAAACCTTGCAGCTTTCACAGGTGAGGAGTCCGTAATGGTATCCAGACACTTTATCCCCACACACTGGACAGAGCTCTTCAAGATCTTCATCATAGGAGTAATTCACCATTTTAAACTGAGACACTGAAACAAAAGAAATGTATATACAGCTAATTAAGTCACTCAATAGGTTTTTAATCCTGCAGTGAAAAGCATTTTGGTAACTGGTGGGCAAATATCGCAGGTAAAATATAAAATAAAAGTTTTTTTTTTTTTTTTCCAGATGTACTGAAAAACAATTTTAAACAATGAAAGTAAAAGATCTTCTGGATTCCACAAACGTGCACTTCCTATTTTTTAGCTTAAAAAGAATTAACTTAAAAAGACTTTAACTTAAAAAGAATTCCAACTTCTTTTGTTAAGAATTTTAAACAGACCACTGTTGAACACATAGCTCATAACTGCAAGGCAGCACGTCAGAACAAAACACGAATTGCAGAAAGTAACAATTTACAACTTTTTAAACTTCCTGAAGATCCAAAAATGTCACCTTTGCCCAGGAGAGAGGAACATGTACACACATTCTCCCACTCCTGAACCAAGTTTGCTGTAAGTACACGTCGCTCAGCAGGAGAGCAACAGCGATTTGCAAACCCTTGACGGAGAACGTGAAGCCCCAGAAACCTGCTTCTCAGCAGCAGCCCCACTTGAACCACAGCCTGCTGCTCCCTACGTGCAAATCTGTTAGATTAATAGAAACATTCAGCTCCGTATCGACAGGGCTCCTGTTCTGGATATTTTCATCTCTTCGCACTTGGAAATCTCCTGTAAAAACAGAGAAACAGAAGAGGGAGGACGCCGGGCAGACAGAGAAAAAGGAAGATACCCACGAGGGCTTGGTTTCGTCTCAAAGTATTAAAGTCCTGTGATAAACTTCACATGTTTCCGATAATCAGTGCAAAATATAAACACCTTGGGATCGCCCTGTTAAAGTTAAACAGAAATCAGGCCGTGGGTCCGCGAGGCTCACTGCGGGGATCGAGTAACCGCCTTCCGCCGGACGCAGCCCCGCGAAGGCGCCTTTGCAGCCAAAAGATGGATAAACTATGCGCAGGAAGGACAGCGGCCAGGAGACCCCAGATAATACCTGATCTAGTCCCTTCCTGATACTCATGCGGCCAGGTCTCGGAGGGCGGACGCGGCGGGTACCTGCGGTAAGGGGCAGGTCCGCGCAGCCCGGCACCCTAACCCTCCCGGGCACTTTCCCGTGAAACCCCGGGGTGCACTCGCCTCTCGCCCCTTGCTCGGCTACACACAGGCGCACTAAAGCAGAGTCGAGTTTAAGTTAATCAGTGGCATTTGCAGGGGGCGGGGCGGGGCGGGGCGGGGGGGGGGATGGGGAACCGATGGCCGGACAGAAGTTTCCTCTGATTTGTTTACCAAAAAGGAAAGAGAGAAAGAGCCCCCACCGCATCCCCAAAGTTCCCGGCCACTCCATCACCATACTGCGGCCTCTTCGACAATGACTCGTTCTTTTTCTTTATTCTTTTTAAAAATAATGTTCTTTTTCTCTTTATGGATTCTGCAGGCCCCGGGAAAGGGCCGTGGGGAGGTGAGGTCACTTGCACCACTTGGAGGCTGAGGGCCGCGCACCGACCGTCTGAGTTTGAGACCTCTCCTCCCGAGCCACAGAGCCGAGCTCTGCGGCTTAAACCCGAGTGAGAGCCAGAGTTTGGGGATGGGGGTGGGGTCCCGGTGAATGATGTTCCCGTAGAGGCTAGCGCCTGGGCTCCGTAAAATAGAAGGAAAGAGATGCTGAGCGCAGTCCTCCCACCGGTAACAGCCCTAAGAGGTCCGCGCTCAGGTTTTGGGAAGCTGAGGGTGTGGGGGAACGGAAGGTTCGAGAAGTTCGTTTATAGCCCATCTCTCCCCCAAACTTGTAACTATTGCTTTGTGGCGTGTTTTGGGAAAAACTGTACTTGACTGTTTTTACTCTCCCAACAAAGTCAAGTCTAAACTTCGCACCTAAGAGACACTGCGAGGCAAACGTCTGCAGGAGGATTCGGTGCCCACCTCGGGATTCCAACCCCTAAAAAGACCACAGCTGGGCGTGGAGACCCTCTTGGACAAAGACAGGGTCCGTGTGGGCAGACAGTCGCCGCTGTGCAAGACAGGGGCACCTTTAAGAGTTTCCCAGGTGCTGTACTCAAGTAGACGTTTGAAGAACGGAATCTGTTAGGGCAGAGAAGCCCCAGTCTTAAGAAAGTAAAGAGGACGGCGGGGCCTTGTAAAGCTAGGGCCGCAGAGGCACGCGGAAAAATTCCCCCTAAGTTGCAAACGCTATGCTGTCCCGAAACCCAGTGGCGGGTCCTCTTTCTGATCGGATTAGGGCGACTAGGGCGCGTCCCCCGCTGAGACCAGAGCAAGCGTGGTAATGGGGTCCAGTCCCCAAGGGCTCCTCTAGACGTGTAGGCCGCATGGCCTAGGGGGACGTAGTGCCCTGGCCCTTCCCACGCTGTCTTCGAACCCGGATCGAGCAGCCGGCGGCTTCTCCTGAGCCCTGGGCACAACGGAGGGCTAACTTTCTGCTTTGGGGCAGCAGATCGTGTCAAGAACGCCCCTCCCGAACTTTACAGGGAAAATATTACAGTGGCATTTCCTTCCCATGTCCCCCGCCCCCTGAACCCTTATTCTTGCCTCCCCTACTTCTTGATCCAGCGTTTCTCTGAGTATCTTTCCCCGAGTCTCAGAAACGCGCGCGCCGGAACGAGCAGCAGAAACTTTCCTTTCCGCAAGGGTAGACCCTCTCCGCAGCTGGAGGCGGAGGGTTCCGAGATCCGGCTCCCGGGGCGGGTGTCCCTCACGTCCTGCCTTCGCCGGAATCCCAGGCGCCGGCGAGAATGCCTCTTTGGGCCAACCGGGTTCCTCCAGCAGCCAACCCTCAAGTTAGTCTCAGAAGCCACAGCCCACAGGGTACTTCCACAGCCCTTCCTGGAGGCTTGGAGGGACCCCAGGATCATGGAGGGTAAGCGACCCCACAGGTACAACGCACGTTTTGCCTCCACCCCCCTTCCCCCAGCCCAGCCGGGCGACGTCAGGGCCCCCGGGGCCGAGTGCTGCAGGCGCGCCGCCTGTCCCGCACCGCGGCGAGCACCAACCCCAAACTCTGCTCGGACTCTGCTCTCAACACCTCCCCGGCCCTTTCAAGTTCGCTCAAGGGGATGGCAGGAAGCGTCCCGGGATCACAGGCCCGCCTGCCCGCACATCCTGCGCGCTGGAAGGGGCGAGGATGGAAGAGCACCGGTGACTTTTCCTAGCATTGTTCCCTCCCCGGCCCAGAGCAACTGCGATAAACTTCTGAAGGGCTCATACAGACAGATGTAGAGTCGCTGTTTTGGAACGCGGCAAAAAAAAAAAAAAAAAAAAAAAAGCCAGCAGAGTTTGCTTTTTTTTTGTTGTTGTCAGCAATCAAGAGCTGGGAAAACAAACAGGACTTCCATACTCCCAGCTCCCGGACTGAAGAAGAGTCGCTAAGCTAAACCGCGGCTGCCCCCTCCCTCAACTAACTCTGCAAGATCTGCGCGGAAGATGGGATTGGGCTAACTTTGGATGTCTTCAGTTCTGCCCGCAGTTCTGAAGCTGTCCCAATTACAGCCGGATCCAAGGGTCCGCATGGGCTTTGGGGGGTGCCCACATGCATTCTAACGCCGCTAAGACAAGCTTTTCCCGGGTCATCTTCTCTTTCTGTAGTTGGCTTTGCTAGGCAGGGTGTTTTTCCTCCACACAAGAGCACTGATTAAAGTTGCCACCGATTCAATGACCGAGAACCTGCTCCGGTTTCCAGTGAGGCACTCCATCTCTGAGAATGATCATACTATTCTTAAGTATCTTTAGCCTGAAGCTGTGCCCCCTCCTCGGGTTGCCATAGAGCTCGAAGCCTCTCTTTTCTTAATTAGAAGCGGCCAATTAGGCATTGCTTGGAAAACCTCCGCCCCGCATTGTTCAAGAACCATAAACTTTTATGCCCGTCCCTGGGGTGGGGGCCTGTCGCCCGCGCGCTGCCCCACAGCCCAGCGGCCGCGAGGGGGTGGGCAGCTGAAGCCCGCAGGGCGAGCCCGGGGTGGCGTGGCGGCGGGAGCCGGAGCGCCGCGCAGCGCCTCCTTACCTTGCATGTTTTCCGGCATCTGCCCCTGTTCCCCATGCGATCGAGCCAGTCCCAGGGCTTCCGTCTCCACTTTGGGCAGCATGACAGGGCGGCCGCGGACGGGGATAGGGGGTCCGTGTCCGTCCGGAAGCCCAGCACCTGGACACCGGCAGCACAGATTCAACTCCGGCGGGAAAAAGGGAGGGGCGACTGGGGTGCTTGCTCACCCACGCGCTCGCAGGAGCGCGCCTCCTCCTCCTCCCAGGGCCTCCGGTCAGGACCCCTGAGCCCCGTCCAGTCTCGCAACTCCGGAGCCTCCCCCAAGCCGCTGGGAGGAGATGGCGGGCTAGAGATGAGGTGAAGACTGCGCCCCGGCGCCTTGGTTCGGCTCGGCGAAGGCGGAGGCGGCGGCGGTGGCGAGGGCGCAGCTGCCCGGGGCGCGGATCCGTGTGCCGCCGAGCTCCGGGAGGGCAGCGGAGGCGGCCGCGGAGCTGCTGCTGCTGCCGCCGCGGCGGTGCCGCTGCAGCCGCTGCTCCCGGACCGCTCGGGCGACTTCTACCCCTCCCTCCACCCGCCCTCTGGCTCAGAATCGCCAGGGGTCGGTCTCTCTCTCTCTCTCTCTCTCTCTCTCGCCTCACTTCTCCTCTCCGCCCCTTCCCCAGTCTCAGCTTCCCTCGCGCTATCACAAGTGCGGAGTTGTGAAGTTCCAAGCTCCCTCTCCTTCCTCGTTTACTCCTCCCGCGTGTCCGAGAGCGGTCCTTCCAGCCCCGAGAGTGACTGTACTGGCAGAGAAAGGGGGAAGACGGGGAGGAGAGGGGAGGTAAGTAAGACGGGGGTAAGAGGGAGGCTTGGATGAGAGGTGATGACAGTGAATGGGAACGCGGGTTCCGGAATCTGTCGGACACCAACCGCCAGCCAATGAGGATGAGGCGCATGCTCCAGTCCCCAGGCCTGCCCCAACCTCCCCACCCCGCCTTAACCCCCTCCCACCCCACCCTGACCTGGGGCGGGGGGATGTGAATGCTGCCGGGTCCTCCAGCTAGTGAGAGGCGACCTCTGTCTGAGCGCGGCGGCGGGGGACGCGAGGCTAGGTCGGCGATTTATTTCTGCGAGCTGGGAGGAAGCCAGAAGGGACGCGGGAGTATGTGGGTGTGCATGGGTGTGCATGCGTGTCCCCGCGAGCGTGTTGGGTCAGGGGCTGGATGGGGGGGGGGTTAGACACCCACTTTAACAATCCGAAGGAGAAAAGAGATGGTGAATTCAGTTCACCGCTCTTCTCTAAAGAGCTGGCCTGCTCTCAAGGGGCTCCCGGCTCCCTTTACTCCCTCGGCATTCAGCCCGAAAAGGTCCCATGGTGGGCCCGGGGAGTGCGGGACTGGCCGAGCGTCCCAGCCCACCCAAGGGACAGCCATAACGCCGCAAGTGCACTCACTTGGGGGAAATCTGAGAAACAGCGATCACTGTTTTCCCCTCTCTACCAGTTCCTTCACTCGGTTATAAACACGCCACCCCCTCCAGCCCAAGATTATATTGGTGGCAGCCTTCCTAAATTTTAGTGAACTGTGTCTGCAAGTAGAATGCAAAGAGGGTACTAGGCTTTCCTCTTTCATTCTGGTGTCTCTGGTGGGACAATCTGCATGAGGCCCAGAGGCCCAGCACTTCAGTGTAAAGTTTTAAAGAACCATCTGTTATGTAAGCTCTTCCGCCACCAGCCCAGCCACATCTTCAAAGTTTTCAGATCTCATCCCAACAAGATGAAAAACATTTTTTCCAGCCTCATGACTGCATATGAAATGCCTCATATTCAGTGTCTGCTGTGAGACTGGGTAATTATCAGAGTCCACCCACAAGGGGGTGAATTTGAATCTCAAAAGATCTGAATTTATTCTATTTGAATGGAATGGAGATCACACATTTAAACCACCCAGTCCAGTATTTGATGAATTGACAAACACTCCAATCATCGCCATGATTAATCTACACTTTTACATGAAATGGGTTGTTCATCGCCTACCCATGTCTGGCAATTCAGAGGCTGCTGACTCTCTAAACTGTTCTTTTTTGTCATTTTGTTCTTCAATATACATTCAGAATCTAAGTTACTTAAATCTGTTTTGTAGCATCATCAATTTTCATAGAAATGTTTAAACTTGAGGGGAGAGGGACTGTCCATTAGTTTGGAAAGTGCAGGGGGTTGTGGTTACCCAAATTAGTGACCCTAAAGATGCTCAGATTTCGGGACATCTGGGTGGCTCAGATGGTTAGGTTAATCGGTTCATCATATCCCTTCAGCTCAGGATCATGATCCCAGCATCCTGGGATCGAGTCCCATATTGGGCACCTTGCTTGTGCTGGGAGACTGCTTCTCCCTCTGTGCATGCTCTCTCTCTCTCTGACAAATAAATAAATAAAACCTTAAAAAAAAAAAAGATGCTCAGATTTCTGATAGTATCATGCAACACTGTCAATCCATTTTCAATACTACTAGTTGTTTTAAATACCATCGTGAATAAGTGCATGCATATATATATATATACATATATATATAGTTCAGAAAAGGAAAGGAATTAAATCTCAAATCAGTCTTGCAGTGCTATATGGATTCAGATGAACTTTGAAAATCAGTTTATTACAAAGTGTTAATTTAGGAGTGTCCTTCCACTACAATCAAAGGGCTTGTGCGGGCACTTCTGTGGCACCTTTACCAACACCAGGCTGGCTGCTATGGAGAACTCCAGACTCTTGATCCTCAGAGGGACCTTCCAGCTCTCAGATCCAGAGGGAAGGTCCTCTGGTTGGTAGAGCTTTAGGAAGAGGTTAGGAGAACTGAAAGAAGTAGAGAGAGGGTCTGACAGATCATATACTTCGTAGCACAGAGAAATCCTTGCTCCTTGCCTGGACTTGAGCCAGAGCCTGACGTGGCCAAGGCAAACTTTGTGATCACATTCATAACCCAGCTTCAACTCCAAAAGGGCTTGTTTACACCACACTAGCATCTTTTCAGTCCAAGCCAGTCTGCCTTCACCTAACACAACCTAAACCAGTAATGATGGTGACAGAGGGCCAGCTGACATTCATTTATCTCCTCCCCAAACCAGAGGTGGTGGTGAGGGGAAAACAGGAGCTGGAGACCAGGTTTCAAAAAAACACCCTTAAAAAAAAAAAAAAAAAGAACCATGGTTAAATCACAGAAAGGCCCCAGGCGTTTTGCCCTGCTTTCAGGCCCTAGTCCAGGCTGGCTTGCAGGGAATGGAAGGGGCACTGCAAACACAGGAGGTCTCAAGCAGAGAGAAAACTGTTGCTCCAGGGAGAGAGGAGTGCCCCAGGGTCAATCCTATCCCAGATCCCCTCCGGGACTCCCAGACGCCTACCAGCCATGGACAAGGTGGGAAATCTTCCACTGGAATTGGTTCTATTCAGAGACCGGATGACAGACTCATCTTTCCCCCCTTTTTCTCCTCTAGGAGTTTAGGGGAAGCAGCAGGTGTTCCCAACCCTGGGGCAATCGCAGAGGGAGGGGCGGCGGCACTAAGGTTTTCTACGCGCTACACTCATTTGCACCCCATAAGTGCATCCATTCCCCACCCTATGCGTTCCCTCCTTCCGAATGTTCTGGTTCCTTGATCCTTCAATTCTGCCGGGCCAGGGCCCTCATTGGATCCTGGGCGTGGCCCAGAACACCGGATCCGAAAGAGAGCTGGGGGAGGAGGAGCCTGAGCCACCCACCGTGACTCGGGGCGGTTACCTGAGAATGGTCCCAGGTTGCAGAGGCAGCAGTGAGGAAGGAAAAGACAAGTGGACGCGGGAAGGGGGAGGCAACTGAGATAGGAGTAGGGAAACTGGATGGGTGGTCTAAACGTTGATACCCGTGGTCGTCTGACAGGTGCCGGATCGTCTTGGAACGATAAAGCCCCCGCAGACGGGCAGGCGCATCCCATCCTCCGCCAGGGACATCTTAACTTATTGCCACTCCGCCTCTTAGGGGATGCACACTTAGGAATCCACCCCGTCTGCGGGAAACTTAACTAGCGGCAAAGACCACAGACCACAAGTCGGGAGGCAGAGGGAAGGCTGTTCAGGCATTAGCTACTGTGCTCATTCTCAATTTCTTCCCTGCATTCCTCTGCCAACTTCTGGCAAACTTCTCTCCCCTTTCCCCTCACTTCCCCCACGCCTCCACCTTCTTTCCGACGAGACTGGTCTCCAGGGCTCGTCCTTCCCGGTTCTGACTTTGTCTTAAAGCATTGATTGACGGTTGCAATTATAAGGGATGATGGCTCGGGGAGGCTCCCGCAGCCTTGATGAGCCCGAGGAGCGCAGTCCTGGCATATTTTATCCAGGCTCAGCGTTACGGGGCCGTGCGCCCCACTCACCCGGCGGGCTGCAGCTGAGGAGGTCTCGCACTCCCCACCCGCGAGGACGTAACTGCCTCCCTCTCCTCCCCCGCATCCACTTCGCTGCTCCGCGCCGCATTTCAGAGAGCGCGCGGGGAACAGCCTGCCCTTGACCTGACCTGAGAATTGTTGGCCAGCCCCGCGCGCTTAACGCGTGCAGGCTGCAAAGGGAGTGAAAATGTCAAGATTTTTAGAACTGGTTCAAGTTTCCTGGGTTCGGAAAACACAGGTCCCCAAGTAGAAGACCCACCCCTCCCGCGCGCCTGGGTGGGAGAAGCCTTACACGACCCACCCAACCTCTCAAGAAACTTGCAAATCTACATTCTTGGAAACAATTTCTAACGCCTCCTCTATTTCTACTCTTTGGTGTTTTTTAAGAAAGCAGAATCTTTACTTTTCTCGTAGCACGTGTCTAGTTCCCAGCCTCAGAAGAAACCTAGATATTTTTTGTTTTTTTTTCCGGCAAGTCTCCACCAAGTGGCCGCGATAGCCCGAGGGGAGAGGGAAGCAAGTTTATCAGCCTAGGCTCTGCCTAATTTTTCAGCCCCTCCCACTCAAAAAGCCCATCAGAAGCCCCGTTCGCCTTTCTCTGAAAATTAAGTTTAGCAAGAATTCCAGAGTTCCGTACCTCCAGACTCCCCCAGCCGGCTTCCAAACCACTGTTTTAAGATGAGAAGGGTTAAATTTCAGTACGGACTTACGAACTACCAAGGAGCACCGTATTGGCCGAAGCTTTGAAAAAATAAACTTGAATAGGTGAGAAGT